GGGACCCCGCCAGGACGCGGGGCCAGGCTGCTGCGAGGGGGGACGGGACCGTGCCCCGGGGCTGTGCAGCGCGGTAGCCTCTTTACCTTTGCGGGCCTTTTTCTGGAGCTTGAGGGTGTCGGAGGATTTCTTCTTGATCTCGTGGCGGGCTCGCTTGTACTCTGGGGGCACAGAAGCGGAGTGAGAGCGCTTAGCCCCAGGCCCCGGCCCTATCTCCTGACCGTCGCCTCGCCGTGCGCCCTCCAGCCTCCACCACTACCTTTTGCATGGTCCTTGTCCAGCTGGTTGGCAGTTTTCTTCCAGTCCTCGATCCTGTCCTGCAAAGGGTTTATGAGGCTCTCCATGAGGGCGCTGGAGCAGGGAGAGAAAAAGCGAGCACGTGTGAGTGAGCAGCTCAAGCACCAAGCCCTCAGCCGGTCGCTTAGCCGGTTTCCTCCTTCAGAGAGTGAGAGCTGAGCCCGGCCAACTCGTGTCACTGGTGCCCGGCGGCCTTACTTGGTGAACTGCCTGAGCTTGGCCTCGATGCTGCGGTGCCTCATGCACATGCGGGTCAGCGCTGAGCCGATGTCCCTCGTGGCCCCTGGAAGGCAAAGCGAAACGCCGCTGAGCGCGAGGAGGCAGCACTGCGGGATGCCCCAGCGCCGGCCCCGGCACCGGCCAGGCTGGCGATGGGGAGAGCCCGCGCTGGAGCGCCCCGGGCTCCTGGGGTGGTTTGGGTCAAGGGCGGCTTGCGTGCGCCCTTGATAAATCCACTAAGGAAATCAATCAATATCCACTGATAAATAAAGCCATAAATACCACTTCTCGTTGCTCTGTCAAGCTCGGCAAAGCCAAATCCCAGCGGCACGCTGCCGGCTGGGGGGATCCTGCTCCGCAAACCTGCTCCTGGGGGCGCTGAGGACTGACCACTTCCTTGCCACAATGCCCAGCTCTGCGCGTGGCGGCGGCGGCTCGCCTGCGCAATGGGGACCGGTGGTCCAGCCGGGGCGCCTGCCCCACTCTGGGCAGACCCCGCTGTCCCGGCCTTCTGCCTCGCAAATACGTTTGGGCCCCGCAAAAGAACAAAACCTGCCTCCCCTATTTCACCTCAAATCCCTTTGCCAGCCGCCCTCCACCCCCCTCTCTACCCCAGGACAGCGCCTGCACATGGCACCGACGCTGGCTGGGGACGCCTCCGTGCCTCGGTTTCCCAGGTGGGGAAGAGGATGCACGCCGCCTTGCCGCGGGGTGGTTCGACAATGCTGGAGGAGTCTGAGCCGCAGGATCTGCGACCCCCAGCCTCTCTGCCCTGTGAAGGCACTGGCAGCACGGAGGTCCTGTGCACGGGACGCTGAGGATGTGCTTTCCCCCCAAATCCGATCCCCCCTTAAGCTCCTGGGCGCCTTTCGGAGGATGTACGGGTCCATTGGCTCTCCCACGCCTTTGCCTGGCAGCTGGGGGTGTCCCGGAGAAGGAAGCGGTGAGATAAACCGGCCGGCCCTGAGCTCCAGGCCGTCCCTCCCCAAGGCCAGGCTGAGTCCTTCCCCTCCAGGCTCAATCCTGAGCTTACAGAAAGGGCGGCAGAGCTCCCCTGGGGCAAAACATCCCACCAGCACCGGCGACTGGTGCAGGGACGTTTCCCAGCGATCAAAAGCAGGAGCGCCCCCTTGCCAGTGAAACAGCTGCTAACTCTGAAGCCTAAGGATGGCCACACAGTGGCAGTGCTGCGGACAGAGGTGCTGCCAGCACATGCCGGCAGAGGAAGCAAGGTGACAACCACAGACTCCCAGGGTGCAGGCAAGGGACTCATATTCTGCCCTTCTCTCCCCAAAAAGTTTCGAGAGACACCGCTCAGCCATCCTGTGACTCCCCGGGGCTGTGGACAGGTTTTCCTGGAGCACCGAAGGAAGGCGATGCAGCCACGATGAGAGCCGGACCCCCATCGCTGCTCGCCAGTGTGCTTCCCGGCCCCGGCCCAGTGAGCCGACCCGCTGCCCTGGACACGCTCCTGGCCCCACTGGCGCCCTGCGGAAGAGGGGCTGCGAACCTCGGCCCTTCCTCCTGGTGCCACGGCAGTCCCTGCTCCCTTGCTTGGGGAATTCTCCTAATCTGGCTCCTAATGCTCTTATTCCGGATCCTCCTGCTCCTAATCCGATTCCCTGCCCTGTGCTCACACATGGAGGCGGTCAAGCAGTTATCGAGCACACATCGGAAAACACCCTGGAGCAGAAAGATGGTGGGGAGGGAGGGAGGGTCAGGCCTGCAAGCCAGGGCTGGGCGGGATGCAGCCCACCAAGCCA